TTGGCCACTCGAGACTACAGGGCTTAATCACCCAAAATGCTATAAAAGAAAAGGCATTATAAGTGTTTGAAAGAAGGCTGAAACGAACAATAAAAAGTAAGGTAAGAGTAAGGTTTATTACTTAATAGTTATTGGTTACATAATAAAGGTGAGGGACTTTTTATTTATAGTTAAGTCTCTCTTACAATGATTGAGATTACATTCTTAAACTAAATTACATCAATTAAATCTATTGATTCTAAGAGATATGATACAATCTCTAATTCAATGGGATTTGATACTACAAAATAATCTTTGACATTCTACAATTATGTTGAGTAGCGAGCCTTCTAGAAGTCCCCATATCTAATATTTCTAGATGTGTGTTCAGATGTGCCTACACCTGGGTCTGACCGTGCACTCGTATCTCAATCATCAATGCCCGCACTTGAGTTCAACTGTGTGCCCACACTTTGTTTATCAATACCCGTGCCTAAGCGTGGCTCAATTTTGCTGAACCTAAACACCTTGTCTGAGTCACTAGAGTCTTGATCACTATCCACACCTTTATTCTGGGCTAGTTTCTCGCGTCCTAAACATCTAATGTGCCTTAGGGGCTGGTCCTCCTAGTTGTTAGACTCTATTATTCTATAACTAGGATTGCAACTCGATTCAAAGAGAACCCCTAGGCTTAGGCCAGCTTGCGGACTGTGACATTCTCCTCTAATCATTCTAACAATCCCTTCGTTGCTAGGGGAATGATACACCTACTGTGTACATCGATTATAACTCCTACCCCACGAACTAGTTTTTTTATTTTTTAAGCCCATACCCTAAACATGTACTCTGCTAGCTTTTTCTACTCTAGATCTTAAGTTTCTTAGCATTTACTACAAAGGTCCCATTCTCTTGCACTATTTATGCTTTCAATATTTCTTCTAAATTACACACGGCATACTCTTTTTTGAGGAATTAAGCTAAAACATGATACTCATACTATGGCACTTCGCTACCACTAGTTTATCCTTATCAACTCTTTGGGAGGTCCCAACCTTTTGGCATCTTGAATAACACCTAGCCACTCCCTTCTGGGCTCTTTCTAGTGCTATTCACCACTATCACTTTTACCTTCGAACATCCCTTCTGCCTATTTAATGGCTGAAAGCTTTGAGCACTCTTTAACTTGATATGGATCGACATAAAAATAGCAATTTACGAGCTTTCTCTCTTTGCCCTTGTTGTTGGCTCTATAGGCCTTGTGAAATCTAGGCTTTTCAGTAGCCTCTTTCTCTCCTAAGGACCTATCATCTATGTCTCCCCCACATTTGCCTTTTCCTTTAGGCTTTGGAAACTTAGTGCACTCAACCTTAGTGATTGATTCTGTAGCACCTTTGGTTCGACTTGACTCCTGCACGCTTCTCCATTATGGCTCAATCTTCATCCCCGACTTTAGACCATCCATGAAATTCTCAAGCACCTCCACTCTGGGTCCCAAGCCAACACCAACAACTATGGCAGTTTACAATGTAGCATGATCAACCTTGAGTCAATGTAGCTCCTTTCGTAAGGTTGTCACCATGGACTCCAACGCCCTATTCCGCTACATGAGCTTCTCCATTGCCTTATTCAAGGCTCTTTCAATGTCTTCGAGCCAATCTATTATGTAAAAGATGGCCTTTTTGCACTTTGCCAATCGAGTGTCCACAACACATCTCCTGCCTTAGCCTTCCTCCCCTAATCTATTGGTGTGCACTCCCCGCACACGTCACTTGGGCCATCTGTCTAGTCATCCTTGGCCATACTAGCAATACACATGATTAAACCACAAAATTCACGAATGTAGTCTTGAGAATTTACCGCAACCTTTTGACTAGCACTATAGTGAATCAGGATCCTGCCTAGCACAACACACATGACCAGCACTCTGTCAGGCACCAATCATCACTACAGCAGCAATTGGTGCATCACATAATGGAATGCCCACACTGACCGTTCTAGGCCTCCCCTAAGGCTAACTTTGGTTCCTGCAGCACTCTACACTAATCACCTTCTTTGAACCAGCTTCCATTACCAATTTTTAACTAACTTTGAACCAACTTCTGATACCACTTGTCATGAGTAAGGTTCTGTTGCACACTTCAAACCAAGGTTCTAAAAACCTTTGTCTCAAGACGAGACTTAAGCTCCAAGCTCAGATGATTCTAATACCTGAGAATGGACTCTGCTATATCTCATATCAACCTAAACTCAAATTGGTGCTCAACCACTATAGATTGAGAGGCTTAGCTACCCAGAATGCTGTAAAAGAAAAAGGCACAAGAAGTTCTTAAAGGAAGGCTAGACAAACCAACATAAAGTAAGGCAAGATGAAGGTATATTACTCAATAGTTGCTAGTTACACAATGAGGGTGGGGGACTCTATTTATAGTTGAGTCCCCCTTACAATGGCTGAGATTATATTCCTAAACTTTAACGATTACATTAATTTAAAATCTTTTGATTTAAGAGATATGATACAATCCCTAATTCTAAGAAATTTGATATTACAACATAATCTTTGACTTTCTAGAATTATACAAAGCACTGAGCCTTCTAGAAGCCCCCAAATCTGATCTTTTCTAGGTCTGTATTCAACTGTGCTCACACCTCAATTATCAGTTCTTGCATCTGGGTTAACTGTGTACCTACACATTGTTTATCAGCACTCGCAGTTAGGCCTGACTCAATTCTGTCGAACCTAAACACCTTGCCTGAGCTACTAGAATGCTGATCACTGTCCACACCACTATTCTGGACTAATTTCCCGTGTCCTGAACCTCTAGTGCGCCTTGGGACCTGATCCTCTTGATTGTTAAACTTTGTCCCACTAGAACTAAAATTGTAATTTGATTCGAAGAGAACCCTTGAGACTAAACCAACTTACGAACCGTGACATAGGGACTTCTCGTATAATTTAACACTTTTATCGTAACCGAAGTTCTGCCTATTTTTCCATGGAAGCTGCTAACTCATCTAGCTGGCCAACAAAATTCAAGCAATCTGCCAAGCAAGTTTAAAGACTTGATTCGTGATTTGTACAGCTTGATTTTGTTTTAATGCCACTTGCCCTTCTCCAATTTAGCCATTTAATTTCATAACTATCCAAGTCAGCATAGGCATCGAAATTCCGTTTCAATGTTCACCAATTCAGCTCACATTGGCTCCAACTTGGCTCAAGCTGGCAAAACCGAAATTGGCATTTGGCAGCCTTGACAACTACAAAACCCGAACACTGTCCAGCTTCAGGAAACCTCAACTCAACTTGGCTTTTTCCCATCTTTTTTCTTCCTAAGTTAGCTCATAAAATCAGCACTTCAAGTACTTAGATGCAGCTTAAATTCAGCTCAAAATCAGCTCATTTAACCACAGCAAGGCTTGGCAGAAAACAGACACAGCATTTCTAAAACAGCCTTTGCAGTAACCCAAACAGCAACCAGTTTTAGTCTTCAATTCCTCAAATTCCAAGCTTGAGATGATGTCCAATTTAAATCCCAATCAAGTGGTAACTTTTCCCATATACTTCTATACATGTGCACTTACATAAAATTACATGGAATTGCATCAAATCTTGTACTAAAATTCTGCCAGCCTTGAATTCAAATCTGCCTTGTAAAATTCAGCTTTGTAAAATGCTTTAATTTGGCTCCAAAATGTCTTTATAAAATCTCCAATTAAGCACATTAATGATAGACATAATTCTTACATTTTATCACCAAAATCTAACTAAATTGCCTCAAAATTCATATTGTTTACTTTTCTTGAAAATTTTTCTACACATGAACAAATGAAAGAAATTAAAAATGAAAATTAAATTATTTTATCAAAAACAAAGCAAAATTCATATAATTAAGCACTAAAAATAATTTTATTTTATAGAGATATCAATTCTTCTTTTCTCTTTGGATAAAAAAAACATATTATTTATCTTTTAAAAATTAGAATTCAAATAGAATAAATATATGATATAAACAATTATTTTGACATACATCAAATAACTAAATAAACAAAAGCTAGCCTTTGTTATATCCAATACCATTTTACTTATTTCAACAATTATATAGTTAAAAAAGTATATATTTATTATTGTTTTAATGACTCAATATAAAATATTTATTATTTTTTTAATTTTACATCTTTTAAAAAAATAATAATATGAATATAATTATTAAAATATTTATTGTTCAAATATTAAATATTTACAATTAAAATATTGAAAATATTTATTTTTGAAATAGTAATATTTTAACATTATATTTTAAAATACAAACATTTAAATTACATTATATTAAAAACTGTTATTTTAATAATAATATTTTTATGAAATATTGGCATTTTAATTATTAATAAAATACCATATTGAAATTAAAATATTTAATATAATACTATGTTTTATTAAAACGTTATTTATATCAATATATTAGAATATTTAAAATACTACTGTTTATTGTTAAAATATTAAAAATATTTTCATGATTAAAATAGTAATATTTTATTTAAAAAATTTATTAAATTATAAAAAATATTATTTTTTATATTTATAATTAAAAAAGTAATATATATCTATTAGAGTATTAAAAATACTATATTTTAATTAAAATGTTAAGAAACAATTAAAATATGATCAATATGAACAATATTCATATTAGTAAAAGATTGTTATTAATATAGTAGCATTGTTATATTAAGATTATTTACTATTAAAATAAAATAAAATATTATTTATTCTATTAATATTTATCACTAAGTTCGTAACCTTATAGTATTCAATATTAAAAATATTTACTCTTAACAATATTCATAATAGTAACATTAATAATTAAAATATGAAAAGACATCTTACGTTAATATTTTAATGTTTTTAAAAAATTTTTGAATTGAAATTAAATAAAAATAGTTTTATTAATTAATAATATTTTGAATAAAGAAAAATTAAATTCAAATTTAAGACATCGTGTTTATGATACGATCCAAATTGGATAGCGACCAGCTCAATCCATGAAGTCATTTCCAAAAATTATCTCATCTTTTTTTGGGAAAAGAAAGGCTATTTTCAAGTTGTTAAGTTCATTTTCGGTTGACAACATTTTTTAATGACAAAAGACACTAAAAAGTAAAAGTTTATGAAACTTAATATGTGCAAAACAAACAAACCTAAATACAAATCCATTTCTCCATTTTAAAGGCCCGACTAAAATTATTGCCAATTGAAATGAAAAAATTTTTGGAGCATGTTAAATTACAAGAGTTAATCAACATCACTTAAAGGCCTTATTATTTCGTCAGAACATGGTGTACTTGCGTGCAAAATAATAGTCAAGTGTTGCGGGGCTTGATGATGGATCCAAAAAGAACGAAAAAACCAGACGAGATAAAAGCTGGACAGACGAAAACAGGTCATCTCGATCTTTGAATGGACAAAGGTAAGATACAACAAGGATGGACGAAATGGCACCTAACGCTACAAGCTCCGTCACTAACTCAACCACAAGAAAAGAAGCCGGCAAAACCACTACCAAACAAACACTAAGGCTGGCTCAAAGTGCAGGCATCAAGCCTGCACACTAGATGTCAGGGGATAACCAATTCTAGTTAACGTTAACAAAAAAAAAAAAAAAAGAATGCTATGCAATGATATTCTCCTAGAAAACCATTTTGAGAAACTACATTGCATGCCAAACAATGGGGAAAAAAATTAACTAATTCTATTTAATCTCTGAGCCACAAAACTGCTGGCCCTCAGAGTATGAGAGCAACTTTCTCAGGAGGAATAAGTGAAGAAGCATGGGCAATCAATGGTTCATAATGATCAGCGCCAGCACCACACCAACCTACACATTAGAGGAAATTTAAATGCGCAGATGAGCAATCCGATGAGAAAATCTTTTAAGTAAGCACCAATGCTTAGCATATAACTAATAAAAAAAAATTCAATTACCTGTTCCTTTCATGAAAAGAAAGAAGGGAGGTTCACAAATTTCACTCCTCGGATGATGCGGAAGGAAGAAAACACAATTGTCTTCATCAACCATAGCATCTGATCCATGTGCTTGCACCTGTAACTAATGTGTTAACATAATAAACTTCAATCTAAGCTAAAAGTTGAATGAGTTGAATTAGTTCATTCATTAGTGCCTATTCCATTGCATACACATAGCAACAACACTTTACCACCTTTTCTCTCTTAACCTTCCAATCTAAATCATCAAATACACAAACTTCTTTCTAATGCGCACATATGTTAACTGATCACCCCACATGATAAAGTGTTTTGACTTGGTTGGAGATAATAGTTATCACCACCCAAAATTGTTTGGTCAGTGCTGGTTTGATCGAAGACTATAATATAACAGGAGAAAGCCCAGAGGAAATGCATCTGAGATAGACTTAGAAATGTTAGGCATGCTTTAGCATATAATATGGTATGAGAAACAGAGTTGCTGTAAATAACAAATCCATGCATGCACCTAGAATGAGGGTTTGATCAGACAGACTAGTTCAAAAGAAAAAGTTTATATGCATCCAAGTTTGGAGCCATGTTGCATTAGCATCTTAGTCTCAGTATCCATGGAATACTGCTGCATTGATTAATTAAACATCAACATGAGATTAAGAATTAAAAGGACTAATGCCCTTAATACACAACCAATGTGATGAAACAAAGGGCTATGAGAATACCAATGGAATACATAATGCTTTGAAGACAATAACAACTTACATGTTACTTAAAGATTTGAATCTATTCCTCTGAATTTACATGAAAGAACCAGATTTGAGCAACCAATTATGCATATTAAAAGTAGCAAATCAGCAAAATCCAAACAATCATATATTATGATTAAAACCAATCTTCTACTTACTACATATATCTCTCGCTTGAACTCTGTTGCAAGACATTCAATGGCAATGTCATCTCCGAATGCTGCAGTATGACCTTCTCTATTCTCATCTACAGATAACAAACCCTCCTCAGTATATTGTAAAGTGATGATATCATATTCATCATCAGGTGAACCAGAAATGGACATGTATTTGGCCCAGCTCGAGCCATCATTCACAGGAACACATCTCTCTTTGTAAATAGATTCAGCTACCAATTCTCTTCAATCAGAAATTAGATGATAAAGAAACAGATCAAACAAAGCACTAACACAATAATCTAAAATCAACAATTAAATATTCCCAATTAAACTTCATGCTGGTTCAAAATGTCCAAATATGCATTAATTTTTTTTAAATATAAAAGGCGGCTAGTCATTAGAAATTTTTTGTTTTAAAATTTTATATTAAATTCTTTTTCTGTCTTTGGTGCAAAAACAAATGTAAAAACTACATATCTACTAAAATCTCCAATTCTATGATCTAAATAAAATTTTTCCACAACAAAAAAAAGAGATAAAATAATAGATAAACAAAATGCTCATTTCTGTTGCGCCATTTCTGGAGTTTCAGAAGAGAAATAGAAAATTAAAAGTTTATACTTTCCCTTTCTATGTTTTCCTACATTTTCTCGGAAACAAAAATGTAAACATTTGAAAAGAACCCAATCCGCAAACTATAATCAGACAAAAAATTCCAAGAACAAAAAAAAAAAAAACCTTTGCATTCCGAGCTGGACGAGCTCGTCAATGGCAAAGTCCAAGGCAACACGCTCTTCCTTCTTGGCTAACAACTTAACTTCCTGAACCACATGAACCCCCCATCCGTTCCTCAGATCCGGCGAGTACATATTCCTAATCGCGTCATTTATCACCTGCCTCTCTTCTTCATTAGCAGATCCAAGATCCAGCAAGAACCGCTTCACTGTGCGCCTCCTCAGATCCAGCGCGTCTACGTCACGCGCCATCGCCCTTTGTGAGGCTGTGAACAGGCAGTTCCCATCCGTCGACACATCACCTCCATGAGACAGCCGGAACACCACGGAGGAACCGTGCACCTTCGGGTGGTTCCACAGCACACCCTTGGCGTGAAGCTTTGTTAGATGCCGTCTCTGCGGGTCCTCAAGGCCAATCACTTCCTCCCAGGGGGCGGCGGCCATCGCCGTGATGGCCTGGTCAACTAGATCAACGGTTTCAAGAGTCGCTGCGTTATGTTCCCCCCAAGGGACCGTCGGAGATGACGTTTGAAATGTCTCCGTAACGGTCGTTGAATCGCAGAGAAGTTTCCCCATTTTCAAAATTCTCTTTTTCTTCTTTCTTTTGAATATTCTCTTATTATTATTATTATTTTTTTCTCTTCTCTTCTTTGATTGAACAATTACAGAGATGAGAGAGTATAGGAAGACAGAGTTTGAGGTAACGATAGATTTACGACGCGGGAGATAAATAATGGCACGTGGCCAGATCAGGGATATTTAGGGACCCAAGGGGAGTGGTCCCTGACCGCGCGAGAGAGATGCTTCCGTAAGATGGCGGAGCATCACCAGCAATCAGTATAGGACTGTTCAAAAATTTTATTTTAATTAAATTAATTGATTGAATTTAATTTGAATAATTCATTGATTATTCAATTAATTTTAATTGATTAATAAAAATAATTTTAAGAAAATTTTATTTTTAATTAATTTAATTTAAAAATCAAATTAATTATATTAATCAAAATTTTAATTAAAATATAATAAAACTCAAATATAAAATTAAAATATATAAAATAAATAATTTCATTTTAAAAATTGATAAAGCTTTTAATTTAATATTTTGGTAATTTAATATTTTATTAAATGATTTTATTTTATTTATTTAAAAAATAAAAAATTTTAATTTTAATTTAATTTAAATATATTTATTATTCAATTAATAAAAAAAATAATCCAATCAAATTTAATTTGATTAATTAATTTTTCAAACTAACATATTCGATCTGATTAACAAAAATGAAATAACATAATATGATAATTCGATTTTGGATAATTTAACTTGAAATTAATCAAATTGATCGAATGGATATTCTACATAATATTTTTATTATTTTTATTCAAGAATCTTAAAATTCTAGGTTAAAATATTTTTATAATTTTTTGTTGTCAAATTTTAATATTATAATTAAATATTCTTTTAGGTAATATTTTTTTTAAATTTATCCTTTAATTTTATTTAAATTTAAATTTTATTGATTTTAAATTATACTATTTGATAAAATATATTAAAATCAGGTATATTCAATTCTTAATAAAAACTTATTAAAATATAAAATATGAAATATTTTTTAAAATTATTAAACTATATTAAATATAAAAATATATTATATATAAAACTAAAAAAAATCTTTAAAATAGAAAATTATAAAATTTATTTATTTTCAACTATAAAATTTGATAAAATATATAAAAACTAAATTATATTTAAAAAATTTTTAAAACCTATTAAAAAAGAAAAAGTTGAGAACTAGTTATTTTAAAATATAAATGTAGATGAAATATAAAAATATATTATATCTAAAAGTTCAGAAAAAAAAATTCTAAAAAATAGAAAATTTTAAAATATATTTATTTTAAACTATAACATTTGATAAAATATATTAACACTAAATTATATTTAAAAAAATTAAAACAAACTTATTAACAAAGAAAATTATGAAATTTATTTATTTAAAATTATAAAACTAGATAACACATAAAATATATTATATCAAAAAGTTAAAAAAAACTTCTTAAAATAAAAAATTTAAAATTTGTTTATTTTCAACGATAAAAATTTTAAAAATATATTAAAACTATATTATATTTGAAAAATAAAAAACTTATTCAAAAACAAAATTTTGAAATATATTTATTTTAAATTATAATATTTGGTAAAACATATTAAAATATCTATTATATTTGAAAAATAAAAAAATTCTTAAAATAGAAAATTTTAAAACTCATTTATTTAAATTGTGATATTTGTAAATATGTTAAAATTTTTATTATGTTTCAAAATAAAAAATATTTTAAAATAAAACATTTTGAGATTTATTTACTTCCAATTATAATATTCAAATTATGTATTAATTTTTTTTAAAAGCTTGCATTTTTTTTTTTTTTAAGTTTAAGGATCGTAGTGGATGTGTCCCAAAATTTGGAGAACGATGGGATGCTATAATGAATAAATTGTCAAAGGTACTAATTTGTTATGGTTCTCGGTTATCAACGATAAAAAAGGTACTTTCTGAAATTTAGAGATAAAAATAATATACACTTCAAATTTTGAGAATTATGGACGCTATTTATTATTTTATTTTTAAAACATGTATTAACAATTTGAAATGTAAAATAATAAATTATTAATAATTTTTTTAAATGAATATTATCTAATGTAATTTATTGTAAATTTTAAAATACCTTTTAACTTTAATAAATAATAAAAATCAAATTTAAGTCAAAGTTGTACACAATAATTAAGTAATACGAACATGATCTTATAATAACATGTACATGATATTACCATAACTTGAATATCTACAAATTTTTTTAACTAATACCCATGTAAATTCATACTTTTTTTTCACAACATATTAATAATAAATACAATGTCGTGTAACGAGTTGTACACAATTACTTTTAAATATGTATGTGTCTAATTTCAAGTTATATATTGTATAATAAGGTTAATTACTCAAATTAGTACTAAACATTTAGCATTTGGCTTGTAATAGGATCACACTAATTTTTTTTTTTTATGAAAGAGGTTAATGTCTAAAAGGTGGTTGAACTATTTAGATTAAACTTAGGTTCAAAATCAAATCTCTTATTTGTACTATTGAGATATTAATAATTTAAAAGAATTTAGGTAGTGTTTCATATGAGATGATCACTTTTAAAAATCATGATGATTTACATATAATAATTAGACTACTGTGTTTAATAAGCATTTAGTGATCTTATATGATTATGATATTAGATTATCGAGAGATTAAATTTATGCCTTTGAAAGTGATCTAATTTTTATACAAAATGGTAAAAATTTTTTATCATCAACGTGAAATATGATTGAGAATCTGCAAGCGCACAGAATCGACAAATAATATAATGATAAGAGTAAGAGTATCATTCTTCAGAGATTGTGTATATGAGATGATAAATACCAAAATTTAATATCCCAAACTTATATTTAGATAAATAAAAACAAATATAATATAAATAAAAACATGCAAACTAATATAAACCAAACTAAACAAACTTAAAATAACTCAAAACTAATAAAAACAAAATCAATAAAAATCAAATAAGCAAAATTGATTGTAAACCTTAAACACTATCATGCAAATCATAAAAACCAATAAAACCGAAACTTTAATGCACTTTAAAACTATGCAATAAACTTAAATTAATCTTTAAACATGCAATAGAATTAAAATAAATCAAAACAAAAATAAACCAATATTATTAAACCCTAAAATAACAAAACTCTAATCTCATTCAATTTCTTGAAACCTTAACATAGAAACCCTAAACTAAATTAAAAAATTAGATGAAAATTCTATAACAAAAATTGATTAAAATTAATAAACACTTAAACAAAAAGAAACATGCAAGAGTTAAACAAATAAATCAAGATTGATACCTAAACATGCAAATTAAATAAAACATAGCGTAAACCAAAATTAAAACCAACCTTTAACAATGTAACCCTGTTAGCTCAAAGACTTGGAATAAACCAAGAAGGGTGTGAATTGGTTTTAATAAAATTTTCAAAGATAATATTCAATAATCACAAATTATCAAAATAGATAAACACAATAGATGAATATAAACAAAAGATAGGGTTAGAGAATTTAACACCAAGATTTATAGAGGTTTGGTTTTTTCTTAGTCACCTACGTCCTCTCCTTTAGCCTCTCTTGCTAAGGAGTTCAATCCACTATTTGATGAAGATTACAACTAAGCTTTCACAAAGCTTTACAAACTCAACAACATACACTCTTAAGGGTTATCCTCCCCATTAAGCTTACACACTCACAATACAAAAAATTCAAAAGTGTTTGGCAAACTTTAAGAACCTCACAAGGGCTAGGTGTTTGCTAAGTTGAAGTACACAAATGTATAGATAAGAAAGTAGAGAAAAATTGACATGAATTCTGCATTTTTTCTCTTTTTACAGCTTTGAATGCTTGAGCAGATTGGTAGGTAAATAGCAATAAGTTTCTTTAGCTCTTGTTGCTCTTAATTTACAGTGGAATGCTTGATTTATAGTTAGAAAGAAGTTGTGAGCCATTGGATTGCCTTTAATGCTTCAAACCTGTAAAAATTTTAGACAAAAAATAGCTGTTAGGAGTTTCAAGCTTTCAGGGGATTGATCCCCTCCCTTAGGGGATTGATTGGTTTATGTTTGAGAAAGCTCGATTTTATGCCTATTTTGCCTTACTCGATCGATCCCTTGCTTGAAGGGATCGATCTGTTCTTTTAGGTGATCGATCCCCTATGTAGGGGGATCGATCCCTTTTCTGGGTTTTCACACTTAGGGGACATTCTGTTTGAATAACCGATCGACCCCTTTAAAAAGGGATTGATCCCTTGCTTTAGGTGATCGATCCTCTATGTGAGAGGATCGATCCTTTTTCTGAAAAATTGTACGAGAAAAGCATTCTGTATGAAAAAGTGATTGATCCCTTAAATAAGGGGATCAATCCGTTCTGCCAACCAATCGATCCTTACAAGGAGGGGATCAATCGATTTTTGCCAAATCTTGATAACTTTTGGTTCTGGTTAAAAACAGGATCGATCCCTTTTACTAGGGGATCGATCCCTTTTGCTAGGGGATCGATCCCTTTTGCTAGGGGATCGATCCCTTCACTTAGGGGATCGATCCCTTCTATCAAAACTTGCATAAATCATATTTTGTTCCAAGAATTTGAGTTATTTTGGTTCTCAACTGAATTTTGGTAAGATAAAAAGGGTGAAAAAATGTTCAATTTAAGCTTAGACAAGATTGAAACAAGTTTGGCAAATTTTTATTTTGTCGAATCAAAACTCTTAATCAATTCAAGGCCAACAATCTCCCCATTTTTGATATGACAAAACCAAATGAAAAATTTGCATGAAAAATATATATATATTTTTAAAAGAAGCTCCCCCTGAACTTATGAAAGACAAACTCTCTTTAAATTTAGGCATAAGATTTAAGGCAACTAGACAAGAGTAATATCACCATAACCATCAATATATCCATCAGCATCATTATCAATATTAAAACATCATCAGATTTTCATACATCATCAAATTTTCATACCAATATTTCTCTCCCTTTTTTTCATAGCAAAAATATTAAATAAAGCAAATCAAAATGAGGGATTAAGCAATTCAAGGCCACCCAAGATCACTTCAAACAT